ACTGGTTTACTTTCTTTCAATATTTAATATTTTACTTACTTATATGTAACAATTTTTAACCAACCACCAAGCCATGAAGCCTAGATGAAGGCAAAGTGTCCTGGTTTACTTTCTTTCAATATTTAATATTTTACTTACTTATATGTAACAATTTTTAACCAACCACCAAGCCATGAAGCCTAGATGAAGGCAAAGTGTCCTGGTTTACTTTCTTTCAATATTTAATATTTTACTTACTTATATGTAACAATTTTTAACCAACCACCAAGCCATGAAGCCTAGATGAAGGCAAAGTGTCCTGGTTTGACTTTTCTTTCAATATTTAACATTTATATAATAGTCCTTGACCAGCCTCCAAGCTGAAAAGTCTCTATCAAGACAGTGTTTCCTTGTTTACCTTCCTTTGGATACTTAATTTAAAATTTGTGAAATAAATCCTTAATTAACCATTCGCGAAGTTGAGAAGGCTCGATCAAGACAATTTTTCCTTGTTTACCTTCTTTTGAAAGTTTAATTTAACATTTGTACAATAAATCCTTAATTAACCAGGCACCAAGATAAGAAGGCTCGGCCAAGGCCTCGTATCCTGGTTTGCCTTCCTTTGAATAGTTTGGGAAACCGGATGTTTGTTGTACAGCATTTATTTAGATATCTTCCACAAATCTGGCAAAAATACAATGAAAAAGAAATACACAGATTTCTATTTGACTACTTTACTTAATAACTAGCGAACCCCAAGAGGGTCCTATTTACCCATACGTATTATTTCTTTTTCTTAGAATGATTACCTAATCAGAAATGGGTAATTATCCTGGATAACTTTGAGTAACTGAAGGCCTATCAAATTTTTAAAACTGCCACACCGACCCTCACGAGAGAGTCAAATGAATAATATAATACCACTCAAAATAATATTAGGTACGGTTAAAGCAAACATATCTTGCTTGGAGTTGTGAGAAAAACTCGGCATGGCCAGGTGGTTAGGGCGCTTGACTCGCAATCTGAGGGTCCCGGGTTCAAATTTCCGTCCCATCAAACATACTCGCCCTTCCAGGCGTTATAATGTTACAGTCGATCCCACTATTCATAATGCTTGGAGATGGCTTGAATGGGTAATGAAGAAAAACTTTAATATAAGTTTAACATAACGGCAAATGTACAACGTATCGACAATGTTTTGTCACCATCAGGTACAAGTAGTTTACACTGTCACAGATATACATATATATATATATACAGTATTGAACAAAGAGGTCACATGACCGGATATTGTTGCACGACTTAGAAGAGGTATCTTGGCACTCCAGGGTGTTGGTTTAGAGTAGGGTTGTTTTGTTCAATTAAGATTGATTCCTTGATTTTTCG